CTCCTTTAATATTATCAATGTGTGAAAATTAATAACTACTCCATTGTTGAATTCGGTTTATTACTCTTATTTGAAATAGTTAGCACTAATTGACTATAAAATTCAACTATATAATTTAAGTCTTTAATAAAATTTTCTACTTAATTTATTTATACTTCTACTACTATTTAATTTTCGGCTATACATACTAATAATTTCTAATTATTTTATTTATCCGAAAATAGTCTGCTAAAACTTAATTAATTAAAGTAATTGATTAATTCTAATTTCAATTCAGTAACTAATTTATTTATCTTAGTCGAAATTAGTTTACTAATTTCATTAAATGTAAGAAAAATCCATTATTTAATTATTATCGCTAATTAGTTCCAATTAATTAATTAATTCCGAAAAATCTAATCTTTAATTACGAAATTAACTAACTTAATTTTATTAATAGATCAGGCCTTAATCATTTTTAAATATACTCATTTATTTAATTAAGTATATAAAAGATCAATTTAACTCATTCACCAAATTTAGTTAAGTATATTTATTAATTATTCGAGTTAATCACATTTTATGAATCAAATTACCTTATTAATTCAGTCATTAATTACGATTTTTGAATTCTAATAAAATATCCAAATATAATTAACTACAACATCCAATTTTTAAAAAAACATTCAAATAATTAACTGCATTTCAATATTATTAAAACATATCCGAATTATATTTAAATAAACTATTCATATTTCCTAATTATATTGATCAATCCGAATATTATATAATTATCTAAAATTAATTAATCGTCATCAACTTAATCTGATTTTATTCATTAATTACTTAAACGCTTGATATTACGTTAACTTATTAATCTACTTCAATAATTCAATAATTAGTGAAAACAATAACGATCCAATTTTCTCTACTAAGTCCAAATAAATAATTATAATTTTAATATAATATTTGTTTATCAATTTTTATTAATTGAACCATCAATTTCCTTTTTATTATTTAACAATATGTAACTATGCTAAATAACAATTAACAAATTTATCCAAGTGATTACTATCAATTAATCCTGCCAATTTCACCATTAATACTTCTCATCTCAAATTTATCAATTTTTGCAGATTATTATTATTACTATTTTTTATTATTATTATTATTATTATTATTATTATTATTATTATTATTATTATTATTACTACATGTTGTTATTATTATTAGGAAGTTTTGGCCCAAAGGAAACAAAGCGCCGGCCCACTTTTAGAACAAGCACTGTTCTCCACTTCTTCCTCGTGAGTTTAACTGAACAAGATGCGCAGGGGGGAAAAGGGAGGTTACCTCGACGGATTCGTGATACGGCGAAGGTCAGTGATGGGTTGGCGGCAACGGCAGCTCCTCCGTCTTCTCCGTTTTCCGTTTTTACGGTTAGCCCGGCGGAACTCCGGCAAGCTCGTTCTCCGTCGTTTCACGATCGTTTTCAATGATTCTTTTTCCGTTGGACTCCTCTCAAGCAGGGGAAGATCTCAGAAGTGTTTTAAGGGCTCGGTTATGGCTAAAACGAAGGGTCAAAATTTGTGTACATATATATATATATATATATATATATATATATATATATATATATATATATATATATATATATATATATATATATAGAAATCATCTCATCAGGCCGGCCTGACGGGCTGCCCCGTCCGGCCGAGCCCGTTTGGGCACCTTCCCGGTGGAATTTTTTGATGAAATTTTTTGAGCATGTTCCTCATCAAGTCTAGTTTGTCCATACCAAATTTCAGCTCAAAATTCGATCGGGAAGGTCGTCAAATGATTTTTGCAAGTTAACTGGTCCGGAATATGTATTTTCCGGACCAGTTAACTTGCAAAAATCATTTGACGACCTTCCCGATCGAATTTTGAGCTGAAATTTGGTATGGACAAACTAGACTTGATGAGGAACATGCTCAAAAAATTTCATCAAAAAATTCCACCGGGAAGGTGCCGAAACGGGCTCGGCCGGACGGGGCAGCCCGTCAGGCCGGCCTGATGAGAAGAGCTCTCTCTCTCTCTCTCTCTCTATATATATATATATATATATATATATATATATATATATATATATATATATATATATATATATATAGATTTAGGTTCACGTGAGAACTTAATCTTAGGAGAGTAAAAAAGAATTAATATGGACCATTAGATAAGTAACCGTTTTGAGAGATTTATAATTGTACGTATAGGGCTATTATGTCATTTTCTATACTTTACCATGTTTAACGGTAGACACTCTCCGTATAATTCTCACTCCATTAATTAAGTCATTAGGTGGTCAATGATTATTTTTAATTCATAAGTTAATACACCGTTAGATTAAAGGTAGATCAGATGCTCTCCGTAGTGATCAACCTTTCTTTTATTGTATGATTATTATTATTATATTTATTCTCCTTGACATTTTGATATAACACGTATGGGATTATTTTGCAGATTATATTTTATTTTTATTTCATGCTTCTTAAAATAGTGCACTTTTGTGTATATTTAAAATAGTGCACTTTTTGTATATTTAAAATAGTGCACTCTTGTGTATAAATAAATGTACATGATAAAAGTGCATTTCATTTTGTTAAAAAGTGCCAATGTAGAATTTCATTAAATGTGATATAATGCACTTTTATTTATTTTAAAATGCACATGAAAATTGACAATTTACACCAGTGCATATTCATCAGCATTTTTATTTAAATGATTATATATATATATATATATATATATATATATATATATATATATATATATATATATATATATATATATATATATATATATATATATATATATATATATATATATATATATAAGTGCACAACTACGAAAAATAAAGTGCAAATTATAGAAAGTGCAAGATAACCGTACATTAATGAATGATGGGTGGTGCATAGTGTTTTGAATAAAAGTGCATTAATTCATATATACAATGCAAAAAATGGGATATTAAAACTGAATAATTGAATTTGGTGATTAAGCAACCAAATTAAAAGGCAATACATATGTAACTTTTTTTGGGCAAACTCAACACGTGTGTAATTTAGGAAAAAAGATAAAGGATGTGTCATGTGGAAATTAATTCTCCTAATTATAAGGAAACTTCTAACCATATAGACATGCGTAGGAGTGCTTTGGGGGCTACTTTGACATAAATGCCCTGCTAGTAATTAATGATCAAAATTTCTTCCTAAATCAATTAATTGTTACCGAAAATCAAGGATCATACCATCTTGATCACTCTTCATTCGTGACCATTAGATTAATTCTGTGATTGGTTGGATTTCATTCTTTTTTACTCTCCTAAGAGACCATTTTCACCGGAACCCTCCCCTATATATATATATATATATATATATATATATATACATATATACATATATTATACTCCGTATATACGTATTTATGTATATATATGTTGATCGAGCTTTGCTCTCGCTGGAGGGAAGTGAAGGTTCAGGCCAGTATTTATACTGATAAATAGAGGTTTGAGGCTTCAGCTCTGAACTTATCCGATTAGTTTTCTACGGGGGTTAGTAACGGAGCAATTTGAGTTCAGGTGTTCAAGTATGAGTATACTTCTGCATGCAGACCTCTTGTTAGTTTAGGTTCATCTCAATTTTAATTGATACGTAAAGTTATTACTTATTAGGAGTATTACTAATATTACTTCGCATGAATTATTATGTACCCGTATACATTAGTACAAGCACATTTGGGTGTGAAAAGTTTGACTCTAACTTTTTACTTTTGTGTGTATTTGAAGTATTATTCATATATTATATTAAGTTATTAACCAATACTTTTGAAAAGATAATTGTCACTTTTAATATTTTTGTCATACGTGTAACCATTATCTGTTTCAAAAATTATCACTTTCATAATTATCGTAAAATGTTACTTCCATCATTGCAATCTTTTTATCTGACTACAACGTCTTAAATTTTGAAAGTTTCTTTATTTCACTTGATTATTAAAATTTCACTTTTGTGATAATTTATCTGACTAGGAACATTATTTATTTTAATTTGATAATAATTTTCGAGGTGTCACAGTGATGGTTTTGAGAGTATCCATGGCGGACATGGTTTTGGCACTAGAAATGAAGTGGGGAAGAACATTATGAATTTTGCCTCGACATATGAAACATTTAGTTCAATAAAAGATACTCTCACCTTGTGACCTATAAAAGTGGAGCTAATAGTACCCAAATTGACTACTTTTTCATACGGACGACTTGGAGAACTAGCTACACTAATTGTAAGATTATCCCAGGTGAGAGTGCTGTCACTTATCATTAGAATCCTATTACATATTCTAATTATACATTGAACAAACTGATTATTTTGTTAAGTTTTCAGCTTTAAATAAATATTTGAACATTGACGTTTCATGTAATTGTAACGCTGAAGAAAGATGTATGATTGAATGATTGTCGTATTTTTGAAAACGATAAAAATAAAGAACTGGACCGTTTGGATCAGATTCGGCTTCTTAACGGTTGTGCAATCTTTTTACTAGAAGCGAACCAGTTTTAAAAGTCACATTTTTAAACGCTTCCACCAGTTTTGTATAAGAACCGAACCTGTCCTAGGCCTACTTTTTTTCACCGGATTATTGGCATCTAGGAAAAGCCTCGTGGAGAGTAATAAGCTAAACCCACCACCAAACATGAATATAATATTTAGATAGTGAAATCAATAGCCAGCAATGACTTTTGGCTGATCAGCAGATAATTTAAGCATAAAAAACTGCAATTTTGGCCGGCTACACTAACTCAGCTAGATGGATCGAATATGTTGGGGGGATATGGATTCATCGGCCAACATATGGAATGATGCTGCCCGCCCACAGAAAAGAGAACATAAAACAACCGTTAAAACAGTACGGAATATATTGCGGAACATTCCGTTATTATTACTTTCCACTCTTGTAAAAGGCGCCAAGCTTCTCCATTCCAACTTGTACGTGTAAAATTGAACATTCTCACTTACAGAGTATTACTACTTCCCTTCTTTTTTCTTGCCAATACACAGAAAAAGGGAAATGGCAGAAAACGAGTGGCTTAATGGGTACTTGGAGGCGATTCTGGATGTGGGGAGGAACCAAAGTGGCAGAGAGGGGAGGAACCTGATGATGGAAAGCCTCAAGCAAACAACATTCAGCAAGTTTGATGAAGACATGTTTTTCACGTCTAAAAAGCTTCTCCAAGTTCACCAGCACAGGAAAGAACTAGGGAAGACGTTTAGCCCGACCCAGTACTTTGTTGAAGAGGTTGTTAATAGATGCGATGAAACCGACATCTATAGGACATGGATTAAGGTGCGTAGAACTACTGCTTTCTTACAAACCAAGATCGAGTATGTACTTCATTAAGACATCTAACCACCATGCAAGAGATCTGTGAAGCTGATAAATATTCAGTGAACTGATGCATGTGGTTTACGTGGATATATATATACATCTGAGTATATGATGGGCTTACAGGTTGTAGCAACAAGGAATTCTCGTGAGCGAAATAACAGGCTAGAGAATATGTGCTGGCGGATTTGGCATCTCGCCCGCAAGAAGAAGCAGGTCTGGTCTCTCTGTTATATTAACTTGTAAATTACATACTCTATCTTTTTTGGTAAGGGTTCTTTAGCTACACATAGTTGAATCTGCTGAATGTCTTGACATTTTTAAAAGTTTAAAATGTTTTCACTAGTTCATTATTATATTGTAATGTTTACAAAATTAATATGTGACACTAGGCTAGTAATGAACACCCCTGCGTAGTCAGAAATTTAAGCTACACACCTCACCGACTTCAACATAGTTGTTAGGGCTGGTTTATGGTGGAGGATGATGTACGGAGTATGGACTAAGCAACTTGTAACTATTTTCACTAAAAATTTGAAAGAAGCGCACACACTTATCTAACCAGGACATACCCAATGATGGAAATGTAATGTTCAGTTGGTCTGAGGAAATGATTCAATGACTGATGGATGCAGAGAGATTGGGAGGATGCACAAAGGTTGTTAGTGAAAAGGACGTGTGAGCTGGATAAAAAGGTTCATATAGATTTGTCAGAAGATCTTTCTGATCTCTCAGAAAGCGAGAAGGGGAAAGGGGAAGTCATCAGTAAAACAGATTCTCTCTCTCATATGCCAAGAATTAACTCAGATGCACATATATGGTGTGATGAAGATAAACCGAGACAGCTGTACATTGTTCTGATCAGGTAACTAAAGTTTCTGCTAGCTATAAGGTCATCTTCAAGGAAAAACATTGAAGTGGGAAACATAAAGGGGAGAGGGGTGGCCGGATGGGGTATAAAATTAGCATAAGAGGCAGGCATTCCATGGAAGTGCTAGTTACATGGGATGTTTACACTTTATTTGTGCAGTATTCATGGGTTGATTCGTGGAGAAAACATGGAACTTGGACGAGATTCTGATACTGGTGGTCAGGTAGAGAAATGTTAAAATGATTCAAATATGCGACTTGGAAAAGATGACCAGAAATACGCTCATCAGAAAGGTTGGCTGTGATTTCACTAACCATAGAGTTCATTATTGCTCTCAGGTGAAATACGTCGTAGAACTTGCCAAGGCACTCTCTAACATGAATGGGGTGAATCGCGTTGATCTTCTGACTCGGCAAATAACTTGTCCAGAGGTTGACTCTAGCTATGGTGAGCCAACAGAGATGTTGTCCTTCCCATCTCATGATGGTTTTGGAAATTGTGGTGCCTATATAATCCGAATCCCCTGTGGGCCACGCGATAAGTAATACATCAAAACATCATAAATGTGATTGATTCCTCATCAAGCTTGACTAAATTTGTACGGAGTATAACATTTTCAAACTAGCACAGTTATACCCGGATCAAATACACTAGTAAAAAACATATATACAACTCTTTCATATAAATCTTGATAGTTAAATTTATAAAAATTCAAATTCTCATGTTAGAGATCCATTTTATATACACTCTTTTGGGGGTGCATCGAGTATAATCAAAAGGGGACCATATTTGGGTGAGAAGGTTCTCGTTTCAGCTAGTGTTACACCCAAAACTTTGCATTGTAGTTCTCTAAAGTGTGCATGCATATGCACAATTGAACTGATTTGGGGTGGGCTGGAACTAGCTACATCCCACCCCAATTTATACGCATGGAAGCTGCCGATAAAAACATTTATGTAACCGTCTTTTCAACATTTTCTTATGCAGATACATACCAAAAGAATCGCTCTGGCCATATATACCAGAGTTCACAGATGGGGCTTTGGGTCACATAGTCAATATGTCAAGAGCTTTAGCAGCAGAACAAGGAAATGAAGGGAAACCTGTGTGGCCTTATGTTATCCATGGACATTACGCTGATGCAGGAGAGGTAGCAGCACGCATATCAGGAACCTTAAATGTACCTATGGTATTTACAGGTCACTCACTGGGCAGAAACAAGTTTGAGCAATTGCTTAAACAGGGGATGCTCACAGAGGATATAAATGCCACATATAAAATTATAAGAAGGATTGAAGCTGAGGAGTTGGCACTTGATTCTGCAGAAATGGTGGTCACCAGCACAAGGCAGGAGATTGAAGAGCAATGGGGTTTGTATGATGGTTTTGACGTACAATTGGAGAGGAAGCTTAGGATTAGGAGACAGAGGGGAGTTAGTTGCCTTGGGCGATACATGCCTAGGATGGTGGTAAAAGCATAATCACCATTTTCACTAGTAAAAGTCTAGATTTATTTTTTATGGATTATACATGAATGTTAAACTTTGAAAATAAACTAGACTCGTTATATGATGCAAACCAGGTTATACATCCCGGGATGGATTTCAGCAGTGTTAAATCACAAGATCTCGTAGACGGTGAAGCAGACCTCAAGGGTTTTAGTGGAACAGGCAAAATCCAAAAGAAGCCTATCCCTCACATATGGGCAGAGGTTTGTCATTATGTTGTTCAATCCGTTCAGGTAGATGAGAAAAAACTGAAAAAAATATATTCCGTATTAATAAGAGAAGCAATAGAAAGATGCAAAGTATACTGTGCTCCAACTTAAGATTAATGCAGATTTTGAAATTCTTCACAAACCCACACAAGCCAATGATACTTGCATTGTCCCGTCCTGATCCTAAGAAGAACGTTATGACTCTGCTCAAGGCTTTTGGAGAATGCCGAGCCCTTCAAGAACTAGCCAATATGGTAATACATAAATGCAAAATCTTATACTATTACCTCTGTCCCGTGGGATATTGACAACTTTGTGTTGGGTGTAAAATAAGAAAAGTAAAAATTGTGTGATTGAGGTTTGTACAGAAGAGAAAGAAATAAGTTGAAATACAAACTCATTACTTCGAAAGGAAAGCGACAAAATTTTTTAGACAAACACAAAAGGAAAGTAAGCAAAGTCTAGTGAGACAGGGGAGCATATGTTTTGTCGAGCACACCATTGAGCATGAAAAACACTTGAATATTCAATGCAGACACTTATACTGGGCAACAGAGATGATATAGAAGAGATGTCAAGTAACACCTCCACAGTTGTCACTGCAGTACTTAAGCTCATTGACAGATACAATCTATACGGCCAGGTGGCATATCCAAAGCATCACAAGCAACACGAGGTTCCTGATATATATCGCCTAGCTGCAAAAACCAAGGTAACTCAACCTACATTGAAGGGATAATTGAAGTTTGCACCTCAACTTTTCAGCTGAAATTGAATCTAGACCCCACTTTCAAAATAATTGGTATTTGCACTCTAAACATAAAATTTGCACCCCATTTCATAGATTTTTTGGACTTTGGGGTGCAAACACTAATTATTTTGAAAATAGAGTGCAAACTTAAATTTGACAAGAATAAGGGACTTTTTACTTATTTCTATTATCAAGTCTTGTCTGAATTAAAATGTCCATTTGTATTAAGATGACTATCTGGACTATGTAACATTTTTATATGAAACTGTTTAGTTTGTGTGCTGAATAAATAGTCTGAGTTGAATAAAATAATCCTCAATTTAAGGTTGTTTGAGTTATATTGTCAATGAGCAATGTCTCTTATTAACAAACATATTTTCCATAACGAGTTTTAAAAGCTAGTTGAACAATGATTAATACTTTATTTAATAAATGTGTAACTGTATAAAACCTATGACTCCCTGCGGAGAAAAATTCCCGCTATCGTGCTTTTCTTTAATCAAGATTCAAGACCCCTAACTAATAACAACTCTTTGGAAAAACTATCTGTTCTTGAAGGGAGTTTTCATCAATCCAGCTTTTGTTGAGCCATTTGGTCTCACTCTTATTGAGGTAATAACCTTTGATGAACCATATGGGAGATTCTGGTTTGTCTTTATCTACCCTGTAAATTCATAGAACTCTTTCTCCTGCAGGCTGCAGCTTATGGATTACCAGTAGTTGCAACAAAAAATGGAGGGCCTGTTGATATAATTAAGGTAAAATATATGCCAAAATTTAGATCGTATCTGAATGAGTAGAAAAAAACACTTCATTTTAATGGGTGAAATTGTAAATTAGGAGCTTAACAATGGGTTGCTTGTTGATCCACATGACCAACAAGGAATATCAGATGCTCTTCTAAAGCTTGTTGTTGATAAAGCCCTCTGGCTTGAGTGCCGTAAGAATGGTCTAAAAAACATCAGTCGCTTCTCCTGGCCAGATCATTGCCTTAACTATTTATCCCATGTCGAGCATTGCAGAAAACGCCACCCTGCAAATTTCTTTGAAGTTATAGTGCCAGCTACTGAAGAACCAATGACTGAATCACTATGTGGGGTTGAAGACTTTTCACTTAAGTTCTCCATTGATGCAGACCTTAAACTTAACAGAGATGTTGATATGGATAACAGAAAGCAAGAACTTATCAATGTGCTAACACGGAAGCAATCTTTGAATCCCAAATTATCCATTAGCTATTTCCCGGGAAGAAGGCAAGCACTATATGTAGTGGCAGTAGATTGTTATGACAACATGGGAAATGCTTCAGAGATATTATCTCTAATCATCAACAATGTGAACCAAATTAGAGGTTCAAAATCCAGCCAAACAGGTTTAGTACTAATGACAGGAATGAGTCTCCATGAGATGAAAGAAGCAATAAAGAATAGCCAAGCAAATCTGGAAGATTTTGATGCAATTGCTTGCAACAGTGGGAGTGAAATGTACTATCCATGGAGGGATATGGTACTCGATGAAGACTATGAAATGCATATTGAGTACCGGTGGCCATGTGAGAATGTAAAATCAGTCATGACAAGGCTGGCCAAAGTAGATGCCAGCGGTACTGACAGTGATGACATGACTTGCATTAGCCCAAGCAGCTCCCGATGCTACACTTATATCATTAAAGCGGGAACCAAGGTGATATATTAAGCCCATCAAGTTTAACAAATTAACAACTTTTTGCTTTCTCATTTCGGATGATATATTGCCATTTAGACTCGGAGAGTGAATGATCTTCGACAAAGGCTACGCATGAGAGGATTTCGTTGCAACACTGTATACACACATGCTGGGTTAAGGTTGAATGTGATTCCATTATATGCATCAAGATCCCAAGCAATCAGGTATCCATCTCTGTACTAATATATACTCCTAGTAAAAGAGGTAGAGGAACTCTATGGAACTAATAAGCAGTATTTATATTTGGTCCTTTTATAGGTACCTTTCTATTAGATGGGGGATAGATCTTTCCAGAATAACAGTCTTTGTGGGGGAAAGCGGGGACACTGACTATGCAGACCTGCTCATGGGCCTTCACAAGATTATTATTCTACAAGATTGTGTGGAATGTGGCAGTCATAAGCTTCTTCACGATGAAGATAGCATCAAATGGAAAGATGTAACATCCCAAAACAACACAACCATAGCCGAGAGTTATGAAGCACAAGTTATCTGCACATCATTGGAGAAGCTAGGAAGCATGTGAAGTATATATTTTATTACCTTTTAGAAAAAGGGTAATAAATATTGAAGGGGATTAGAATTTGCACCTAAATTGATACTGTTTTCAGATACATATATAATGGTATACAAGCGTGTATAAAAAATAAAGGTACACAAGCTCATCAAGTGTATGACTACAACACATAGTAATCACATTTTTTTACCTGGTAAGCAAAACCACCGAAATCGGTGGGGCAAATGCCGGGGAACATTTGCCGGATATTATAAAAATGAAGCACATAGTAATCACATATTGCAATAACTATTTTTTTTGCATTTCCAGTGCATGTATTGAAAGCAATACTTGGGATACATCAAAGTAAGAAACAAAAGCTGGTGTTGGGTTTGGTCTCTTTCTTTTCAGAAACAAATATTCAGACACAACACAACTCACACAAGCACACATGATACTCACAAACGTATACGCAACAGAGGCAAACATATCCTTTTATTTCAAATCGTCACGATGAGTTACTTGTATTGAGAGAAAGCATGGTCAGACTGACGTCAGCCAGCAGGAAAGTGCATATGATATTATAAATGCCGGGGAACATTTGCCGGATATTATAAAAATGAAGCACATAGTAATCACATATTGCAATAACTGTTTTTTTGCATTTCCAGTGCATGTATTGAAAGCAATACTTGGGATACATCAAAGTAAGAAACAAAAGCTGGTGTTGGGTTTGGTCTCTTTCTTTTCAGAAACAAATATTCAGACACAACACAACTCACACAAGCACACATGATACTCACAAACGTATACGCAACAGAGGCAAACATATCCTTTTATTTCAAATCGTCATGATGAGTTACTTGTATTGAGAGAAAGCATGGTCAGTCTAACGTCACCCAGCAGGAAAGTGCATATGATTTACAGTAATGTTTTCTTCAGTACTTTCCTCATCCAACACAAGAGTTCAACTCTATCTCGTACTTCTCTCCACATGAACAGTTGATTGTATGTGAAATTCCCTGAGATGTTTGAAATTTAGATTTACGTGTTTCACGCATTACGATCATATGTTCTATTAGGATATCAAAAAGTAATTCTAGTTAGAAGTCTACCTATGCTGATCATTTGACATTAATGCATTAAAAGTGCAAAAGAAATGCTGGACAAAAATGTCTACCTTCAATTTCACTATCTGAAGTTGTAAAGACTGCATAAACTCGGCTAGTTCAGCCTTATCTGCTAAAAGTGCTAGAAGCTCCTTTTCCAAAAACTTTACATCCATTTCCCTCAGTTCTGGCTGTAATCACCAACCCATCATTATAGCAACATAGTTTCAGGTGATTCAAGAAGAGGGGTTTTACTTTTTTTCACTTACAACATACTACGTAATAAAGAATTTAATCCCAAATGCTTCTTCAAATGTCCCATTAGGGGATGTGCACTTATTATGTGCTAATAAGATTCATATAGATAATTGTAACTGTCCTAATTTCAGATGGAAATAAAAAGGAAGTAGCATTCAAAATACGACTCTGGGAGTGGCAATCTAATTTATATTGAAAAGGTTGCCATACCATCCAATTTATATCCTTCACAGTGTGCCATAAGAATACACATTATGTAAATAAATCAAAGAGAAAGTGGTCTTGGAAAATTTAGATAAAAGTCCCTACTTGGTCATGAGTTCAAAACGGACCTTAAAATCATTTATCTTCTTCTTCATGATCTCTACAGATTGTGTCAACTGCAATAAGCAAACAGATTTAGAGAAAATGCAATTAATACTAAGTTACCAACTTCAAACTGTTCAAACCTATGAGATGAGCTATATGTATAAGCACATGAGAACACTTCGTCCCATGAGAAATGAGAATGATCCATAATGATGCACATTATGGTTCACGGAGGTGCACATTTATAGTTAAAGTAATGCAAAGTTCAAACGTGCATATTTGTGGTTAAAATAATGCACAGTTGAAATGCACATTTTTTAATTTATGATAGTGCACATTTCTATTTTATATCATACACAATATCCAAATCCAACGTTCCATAATCATTCTCATTTCACTCCTTAGATCATGTTCTCATTTGAACCAAATTCTATATATAGGGTGCGGTTCCAATGAGAACGATGCTTAACGTGAGAACACTCACATTTAACCCAATGTGATACACAATAGAGCCCGTCTGATGCACATTTTGACTTTGCTCCAAACAAGCCATTATAAATAATAACGGTGGCATTTTGGTAAATATTATATTAAACATGAAAAAGTGCATTGGACGAGCCTCATTGTGCATCACATCAGGGTAAATGTGGTGTTCTCATGTTCTCACGTTAAGCCTTGTTCTTATTTGATCTTTAATCTATATACATTTGGATATATATATATATATATATATATACACAAATGTTCAGGTCAGGAGTTCCTGACCGGAACCGCCGTCCGGACCGCGGCGTTTGGCCGCCTTCCCGGTGGCTTTTTTTGATGAAATTTTTATGACATGTTCTCCATCAAGTCTAGTTTATCCACAAAAAAATTCAGCCAAAAACTCAATCGGGAAGGTCGTCAAATGATTTTTGCAAGTTAACTGGTCCGGAAAATACATATTCTGGACCAGTTAACTTGCAAAAATTATTTGACGACCTTCCCGATTGAGTTTTTGGCTGAATTTTTTTGTGGATAAACTAGACTTGATGGAGAACATGTGATAAAAATTTCATCAAAAAAAGCCACCGGGAAGGCGGCCAAACGCCGCGGTTCGGACGGCGGTTCCGGTCAGGAACTCCTGACCGGATCATTACTCTATATATATATATATATATATATATATATATTATTTATATATATATATATCCAAATGTCACCTCAAAGAACCTCAAGTTCCTTGACGCGCATTTGACTGAAGTTTTTTAGAGCTCATTTGGTAACATTAAATGGGCTGAATATAAAGAATGTGGTCGGATTGTTAAAGTTATGTCTAAATTGGCTGAATATGATAAATTATGAAATAAAGATATTTAACTTATACGTAGTATTTTATTAATAAAATAAAATGAAATTATATGGAAAAAACTAAGTGTCTTCTATAGCATATTCAGCTAATTCAGACAAAAAAGCACATGTAGCGTGACTTATTTTAATTATTATTTGGTGTGTGAAACCATAGTTGTAGTGTTACCACTTACCAAACACAATCATAGGTTAGAAGTTAGTAAACTGCTATTTGTTTTTTTGCCTAAATTGATGCTAAGGGCATTTTAGTACATCCAATTATTAAAGTCACTTTTTCATTCATATTTAGATGTAATACTATACTCAGTATTTGTTTAATGAAAATGTGTAGGTAACATTCTATATATCTTTGGATTATACATTTTGTTATTCAATGGGAAACTTCCATTGTTCCATGTGCCCTAGGACGTAAGGGCTATGGACAAGCACTCAGGCACTCAGCATGAACCCAGAAAACTAATGAACGCACAACTACTTCATGGAAATGTGTACTGTAGAATGGGAATTTAATAATCTATCACCCCATTATTCAATAATGTTTAAAAATTCTCTGTTTTCAATGTGAAACAGCACGAACAACTTTAAGCTTAAGAGCTGGTGAAGGTGATATAAAATAATTTCGAGCATAACAAACAAAAAATAATTGATTCTCCCGATGGCTTTAATAAGCAGTTCGAGTACTATCTACTGGATAGTTCTTCAGCTCATAAATTCAAATTTTAAAATTACCTAATATGAAATGAAAATTAAGGACTGCATAAACAAACCTTGCTATTTTCCAAATCAAGTTCTAACTTCTGTTGTTTCACGAGGCTTAGTTCATTACTAGCAGCTTCATAATTGTTTGAAACGCTTTTGACTGCATCATCCTGACAGACTGAAGATCAACCGGACTTTATTATTCTCTCCAGAACAGTAAAGTAACATTCTCTCGAGAACAGTAAAGTATTATTCTCCTTAAGTTTATCACTACTAGCCATCAAACAAGTATGCACATATGCCTCTTGGTCTATCCTGAGAGTGCAAAAAGTTGATTTTATCCTAGGTTGGTCATATGTTCTAGGTGTAGGACTATATCTATAGCTAATCATGGCATTAATAAATGAATCTAAAAAAGATCAGCATTGCATTAGAACCTATATAAAACTTAAAGCTCATTTTGGCCATGTTCATGTACGTCAAAGTTCTACCATGTTAGTGAAAAAGTAATGAAGTGTGATTATAGAAAAAGAAGTTTTCTATTTGTTCCCATTTCAAAATCAAATCTGTGTAATACTAATCGGTAGGGCCTCAATGGTAAGTATTACAATATCTTATGTGTTAGGCCCCATGGTTATTATGGACCCAAATTCATTAGTATGGAACATATTTTCTTCCCATGTGAAACCCCCTGGTATATGAACAAGCAAGACGCTGGGTTTTACCTGTTCACCATATTGGAGTGGAAACGATATTACCTCTTCAGTATTCAACTCGTTTGGTTATAAAAGCATTGTTTGAAGTCAGAAAATCATGTAGTGGTTTATTACAATTTACAATAACAAACTATCATATAGCTATGCATCTAGTATGTACTCCCTCCGTCCCCTTTTAAATGGGACGGGAGATGGTGGCACGGGTTTTAAGAAAAGTGAGTTTGTGTGGTTGATATTAATTGATAAAGTAAGAATAAAGTAAGAATGATTTTGAGCCACACAAAGTTTACCAAATAAGGTATGGGGCAATTAAATAGGGACATCCCAATATGGTAAAACGGGACATTTAAAAGGGGACGGAGGGAGTACTATGTAGTACAGTAGTAGTAGATGCTAAGCAACAGTTCCTTAAAGTCAATTTATTAATGCACTATGGATTTTCCTAACTCATACCTTCAAGTTCACCAGGTTTCTTGAAAGTTGTGTCAGTTGGCTGCAGCATTAAGTCATTGCTCATTAGTATACCAAACATCATATCATATATAGTCAAGAACTCAACGAACTAAACATTTTAAAATATGACTTGAGGTTCCTTTAAAAAACTTCAATTCAATGATGAGCTTGGTTATGGACAGAAAACAATTACACTAAAACAGTAAGGATAAGGGTGATAAGAAGCAAAGTTCAGTAAGGAATTACCTGAGAATTTTCTCCAATTAATGAGGAATGCTTGTGATCATCCATCCAACGCTATTCAGCATAGCAGCATTTACAATCTAAATATGTACACGACAATGGAAAAACATGGTGGATAATGAAGATGGAAAACCTGTTGCTCTTTCAATTGATTGATGATATCATCAGTAACCATGGAATAATATGATCTGCAAGGAGATATTATGTATAAATAAATATAACATCCCTTTCCAATAATAAAATCTTTGATGAAAGGTCTTTAAACTACCTCTTCTCTGAAAGTTTCACTGGCAAGTTCCCTCTTTCCTGTTGAATAAGTTCTAATGACTGGAAAACAGAGATAACAAGGATCAGAGAAACACTATTTATATCATTTACAAGAAAAGAGGATAGGAAAATTGAAATTAAGTGTTTTCCTTGTTTTGTTGGTACAACTAAAGACATGGATCAAAGCCCAACTATTTTTAAGTATATGCGAAGATGGTTGTTCGTGAGCAATTTTATTTTGCTTAAGCAACTTCTAGAATGAGATCATGCTTAAAGCTAGTTGATGATATTGAAAAATGCTAAACAACTTCAATCAAACCAGCTATTTTCAATCTAAGATTAGTAGCGGACAGATGATTACATGTCAAATAATATTTCCATTTAAATCTTACGGCAAACCTAGATATGGATGCTTTACACTGCCAGTTAAGGCAGAATAGTATTTAAAGAAGTCAAGGTGATAAGTTATAGAGTGTTAGGAATAATAATAATACGTACACTCTTTGTAATAATATTGTTACAGTTAGTCTGTTAGAACTAGTTATTGTGGTTGTAATTCTGTTTAGCTTCTGTACTATATAAACCCTCTGTACTGCCTATTGTCATCAATATGAGATTTCATTTCCTTCATTTCAATTCCTGTTGCCTTTCTAATATGGTATCAAAGCTTCTGCTCGATCTACAATGACGAACTCAGATTCTACAACCTCACCTTCTTCCGCTCCTGGAAATCCTACATTTCCAGCAGTATTCACACATCCTATTCCAATTAAACTTGATTCAAATAACTATCTCCTCTGGAAGCATCATATCGAATCAGTGATTCGTGCACACAAACTGTTTAGGTTTGTTGAAAAACCTGAAATTCCTGACCAGTTTATCAATGGTGATGATCAAGGCAACAAGACGATCAATGATGCGTACGTTATTTGGGAGCAACAGGACCAAATGCTTTTCTCGTGGCTGCTTTCGTCCTTGACTGAATCATTTCATGCTCGCGTTATTCACTGCCAACGCTCGCACGAACTCTGGAGTGCGATTCGCAAACATTTTCAGTCAAATCTCACTGTGAAAGCCAGACAATTGAAATCGGAGCTCTATAATACTGGAAAAGGAGAACGATCGATATCCGAGTATCTTCTTCGAATTCAAAACATAGTCAATAATCTCATGACGATTGGAGAACCTATATCTGCTAAGGATCATGTAAATGTTATCCTTGAAGGATTGCCAGAAGAATATGAATCTCTCGTATCATCTGTAACCTCTCGAAGCATTACTGATCCGGTAACAGTTTCTGAACTTGAACCTTGTTAGGAACATAGATATTAATACTAATAAGTGGGTCTGTTATATTGGGCCTATTATTATAGATAATAATAAGAGGGCTTGTACTATAAATAGAAAAAAGAGGGAATGCAATAGGGCAGGCTGTTAGATGCTTGGGACTGGGACTGGGAAGGATCGAGTATAATCTCTTTCCTTTGGGACTTGTGTACTGTTTACCTTGCTTGAATAAAGTTGCAGATTTGTTCTTGAGCTAATTTCCCTGTAGATTAGTTCGAATTTTCTATTGATTTCTGTTCTGAACCTGCGCTTCCCTATCATTGGTATCAGAGACAGTTGTGCGCTGGATGACCTTAACGCGTGCAAAAATGGAAGGGAGAATGAATGAAATTGAGCGGATTCAACGAGAAATGGCTGCAACCATGGAGGCGAACAGGGTGACGATGGAAGCCAATTTCGCAGCGTTGATGGAGAGAGAGCGGAATCGCACTCTTCGCATCGAACTTTTCATCGCCACCACAAGAAGGGATTGGACAGTTCAGATAATTCCGATGATCAATCGGTATATTCTTCATCGCATGTGAATAACGATCACCATAGAAGTCATCGCAATCATCAAACAGGTCGGAAAATTGACCTAGCTCTTTTTAATGGCCAAGATGCTTTCGGTTGGTTAGTTAGAATGGATCGTTACTTCAGGTTGAATAATACCAAGGAAGAAAAAAAAATTGATGTTGCTGTGATTGCTATGGAAGATCAGGCACTTAGTTGGTTTCAATGGTGGGAGCGACAAGCCTTACAGACGAATTGGGAAGATTTTGAAGAAGCGTTGACCAAGAGGTTCCAACCTGACCTCGTGCAGAATCCATTGGGACCGTTGCTCAGTTTGAAGCAAAAAGGTTCAGTTACTGAGTTCAGGGCACAGTTTGAAGTGGCTATGGCTTCCCAAAAGCATCTTAGTGAAGAGGTTTTGAAAGGAATATTTCTGAAGGGACTGAAGAGAGATATTAGAGCTGAATTGAAATTATACAGTACCAGAACTCTAGCTAAGGTCATGGATGTAGCCTTGTTGATTGAGAATAAAAACAATGAAGTCATGATAAAGAAGAACAAAGAAGAAGGCAAGAAGAGGTGGAATGGGAAAACTGGATCTGAGAATCAACAGCAGAATTGGGGAAATAGTAATAAGTGGAGGAGCAACCCTAATGCTACCCCAGGTTATGGGAATATCATACAGGAGAGTAAACCACCTGACAATGCGATAACTCAGAATGTTAAGCACAATGGCCCCAGATTATCACAAAGTGAATTATTAGAAAGAAGCAGGAAAGGCTTGTGTTTCAAGTGTGGGGAAGATTGGAGTAAAGGACATGTATGCAAGATGAAGAATTATAGAATGATGTTAGTGGAACAATCTGAGGAGGAGTCTGAATCAGAAGCTGAATCACTGGAGCATGGAGATGATAAAACTATACCTCTGGAATTGAAGACTATGCAGTTATCTATGTTAAGCAAAGAGGGAATACCTTCTCTGAAAACATTTAAGGTAAAAGGGAAAATGAAGTGGCCTGATGGGGAACAAACAGTTAATGTACTTATTGATAGTGGTGCATCGCACAATTTTATCTCACAAGAATTGGTGGAAAAAGGAAAGATACCTTATATTGCAATGCTGGGATACAAAGTGTGTAGAAAAATGTTACATTATTTTTTTCTAATTAATTTGATGTACATATCTAGTCGGATAGACTAGGATAGATGCAGTTAGTTGTAGATAAGCTCATAGTTATCTAGATCCTAATTTTTAGGATCTGTACTAGCTCATAGTTATCTGTACAAAGTGTATTTATACTCGGGCCATTTGGCTTATTCAATCAAGGAAATTTATTCCTCAAACTTACATGGTATCAGAGCAGGCTGTTTAAACACCACAATGGTGGAAACCGAGCACTCTGACTCTTCTCCCCACTCACAAACCCATAACCCTAACTCCCAAAATAGCTTAATGACAAACTACCAGACCTCAGTTCATTCATCTATGCTCATTACTGGCCATAGATTGAATGGCACAAATTATCTCGAATGGTCACAGTCTGTCAAGCTGGCTATTGATGGAAGGGGCAAGCTAGGGTACATAACTGGTGAAATAAAGGAGAAACAAACTGGTGATGATGGCTACAGTGTCTGGAGGTCAGAAAATTCCTTGGTGACATCATGGCTTCTAAGTTCAATGGATGCATCAATTGCCAAACCTCACATGTTCATGAAAACTGCAAAGGAGGTATGGAATTCCATTAAGGAAACTTACTCAGATCTTGAGAACTCTTCTCAGATTTTTGAATTAAAAACCAAGTTGTGGCAGTCCAAACAAGGAAATAGAGATGTCATCTCTTACTATAATGAGATGGTATCCCTATGGCAAGAGTTGGATCAATGCCATGATGATGAGAAGTGGGAGAGTGCCAAGGATCTAGCAAGACACAAAAAAAGGGAGGAAAATGATAGGGTCTATATGTTCCTAGCAGGAATTAATAGAGATCTAGATGAAGTTAAGGGGAGAATACTTGGAAAAAAACCTCTACCCTCTATCAGGGAGGTATTTTCTGAAATCAGGTTGGAGGATAGCAGGAAGAAGGTTATGTACAACATTCCAGTACATAATGAGGAATCTGGGGACTCTTCAGCAATGGTGGCTAGGAGTGATGACAAGAAAAAGCCCTGGTGTGATCACTGTAAGAAATTATGGCACACTAGGGAGACTTGTTGGAAAATTCATGGCAAACCACCAGGAGCAGGGAAGAAAAAAACTGAAAAGGCCCTACAAACAACTGTGACTGAGACTCAACAAGAACCACAAGTCAAGTTCAATCAGCTTTCTTTCACTCAGGAGCAGATAGGGCAACTTCTTAGTTTCCTTAATTCCCAGAAAACCCAAAATTCCCAGAAAGAATCCAAACCAGAATCTTCCTCTTGTTCTTATGCTCAAAATGGTACCTATTCATCATTTTTTTGTTCTGGGAAATCTAAAAATTCCTGGGTAATTGACTCAGGGGCTACTGATCACATGACCTCTCTTTCAAATCTTTTTTCTTCATATAAACCTAGTGCAGGGGATAAAAAGGTTAAGGTTGCAGATGGTTCTCTATCAGCCATTGCAGGGATGGGAAATATTAGTATTTCCTCATCTCTGAATCTATCCAAAGTCCTTCATGTCCCTAATCTATCCTGCAATCTTGCTTCAGTTAGTCAAATAACTAAAGACCTACAATGTTGTGTTATTTTTTATCCTTCTTATTGCATTTTTCAGGACCTGGCATCGGGGAAGATGATTGGCAGTGCTAAGGAGGAGGATGGAGAAACTCAATCAAATAAAAGAGGTCCAAGAAAGGCTTGTTTGCAAACTGTTTCCTTTTCAAATAATAAAGATTTGTATTTACTTCATTATAGACAAGGACACCCTAGTTTCTATTATTTAAAAAAGATGTTTCCTCAATTATTTCTGAATAAAGATGTTTCTTTGTTTAATTGTGATATATGTGCACTTGCCAAACATCACAGAAACACTTATTTACCCCACAGTTATAAACCTACTAGTCCTTTTACCTTGGTACATAGTGACATTTGGGGTCCATCTAGAATACCAACTTTAAAGGGAAAGAGATGGTTTGTAACTATTATTGATGATCATACTCGTGTCACATGGGTATTTTTAATCAAAGAAAAATCTGAAGTTGAGGAAATTTTTAGGGCATTTTATGCTATGGTCCAAACTCAATTTAATACCAAAATTAAAATGGTAAGAAGTGATAATGGCCGTGAATATTTTTCTCAAACTTTAAACAATTTTTTTACTGAAAAAGGCATTATCCATCAAAGCTCTTGTGTCAATACACCAGCTCAAAATGGAATTGCAGAAAGGAAAAATAGACATTTGCTTGAAGTCACTCGTGCAATCATGTTTTCAACAAACATACCAAAATATTTGTGGGGAGAGGCAGTGTTACATGCTACTTATTTAATTAATCGCATGCCATCCAAAACTTTAGGATTTAAAAGTCCTATCAGTTCACTACAACACTTCTTTCCTACAAATAGATTGGTAAATACCCTTCCTTTAAACATATTTGGTTGCACAGTGTTTATAAAAAATCCTGATAGATCTGCAAGTAAGCTTGATCCTAGAGGAAAAAAATGTGTTTTTCTAGGTGTTTCTGCCACTAAAAAAGGGTATAAGTGTTTTGATCCTACAATCAAAACAATGGTTGTTACTATGGATACTTTTTTTGTGGAAGACCAACCTTTTTTTGATTCTCATCTTCAGGGGGAGAAATTAAGTGAAGATGTTCCAATAGTGCCACATATTCATGAAAATCTTAATTTTCTTGATATTAATCTTGATGATAATTTCTTTAGAAATATCAGTACATCTGAAAATGATCAAGAAATAAAAAATAATGAAGTAAATCCAACTGAACTAATTGAAAAGGATCAACAGACAAGTCAGTTCTTTGGAAAAGTTTATGAGAGAAGGGTTAGAAATCAAAGAATAGAGGATGTCCAAGAACCTACAACTGTCCATGATTCTGCCTCAATGTCAGGAAGTGAAAAAGGTAATGCTTCTAGTAACCTTGACCTTCCAATTGCTCTCAGAAAAGAGAGAAGAGCATGTGTTAAATACCCCATCTCAAACTATGTTTCTTATTCTAAATTGAACCCAGCTTTTGCAGCCTTTACTTCCAATCTTTCTTCTATTTCTATTCCATCAACCATACAGGATGCTCTATCTAAACCTGAGTGGAAGAAAGCTGTTTTGGAGGAGATGGAGGCTCTTGAAAAGAATCAGACATGGAAGCTTGTAGAGTTACCTAAAAACAAACCTACAGTTGGTTGCAGGTGGATTTTCACTCCCAAGTTTAAGGCAGATGGAAGTTTGGAGAGGTATAAGGCAAGACTAGTCGCCAAGGGTTACACACAGACCTATGGAATTGATTACACAGAAACCTTTGCACCAGTTACAAAGCTAAACACTGTAAGAATTCTTTTATCTCTTGCTGCCAATTTAGACTGGCCATTACAACAACTGGATGTGAAGAATGCTTTTTTAAATGGGAAACTTGAAGAAGAAGTGTACATGGAACCTCCTCCTGGGTTTGAAAATAAGTTTGGGTCAAAAGTTTGCAGATTAGAGAAGGCTTTATATGGACTTAAACAGTCTCCAAGAGCCTGGTTTGACAGGTTCACAAAGTTCATAAAGAAGCAAGGATTTAATCAAGCTCAAGCTGACCATACTTTATTCATGAAGTTTTCAGGTAAGGGGGAGATTGCAATCTTAATTGTCTATGTAGATGATATTATCCTCACAGGAAATTATCACACAGAGACTAAAAGGTTGAAAGACAAACTTGCTTATGAATTTGAGATCAAAGACCTAGGAAATTTAAAATTTTTCCTAGGAATGGAGATATCTAGATCAAAGAAGGGCATTGTTGTCTCACAAAGAAAATATATCTTAGATCTTCTACAGGAAACTGGAATGAGTGCCTGTAAACCAGTAGACACTCCAATTGACCCAAGTCAGAAATTGGGAGATATCAAGGGGGGAATTCCAGTTGATATTCACCAATATCAAAGATTGGTGGGAAAATTAATATATCTGGCACACACAAGGCCAGATATTGCATTTGCAGTAAGCATGGTGAGTCAGTTTATGCATCATCCTCTCCAAGAACACCTTGATGCTACTTACAGGATTCTGAAATACCTGAAGAGCTGTCCAGGGAAGGGATTGTTTTTTAAAAGGGGAGACAATAGGACAATTGAAGCTTTCACTGATGCAGATTATGCTGGCTCAATATCTGATAGGAGATCTACTTCTGGATACTGTACTTATGTATGGGGAAATCTAGTAACCTGGAGAAGTAAGAAACAAAATGTGGTTGCTAGAAGTAGTGCAGAATCAGAATTCAGAGCTATGGCTAATGGAATATGTGAGTTACTCTGGATCAAACGAGTAATCACAGAACTGAAGATGGAGATTGAGCTGCCTATGAAGTTATATTGTGATAATAAAGCTGCTATAAGTATTGCTCATAATCCTGTGCTACATGATCGAACTAAGCATATTGAAGTGGATAGACATTTCATTAAGGAGAAGATTGAAGCTGGAATCATCTGCACACCATTTGTATCCACTAAAGATCAAACAGCTGACATCTTCACCAAAGGGTTATTTAGACCTATATTTGAGCTACTTATAAGCAAGTTGGGAATGTACGATATATATTCACCAACTTGAGGGGGAGTGTAGAAAAATGTTACATTATTTTTTTCTAATTAATTTGATGTACATATCTAGTCGGATAGACTAGGATAGATGCAGTTAGTTGTAGATAAGCTCATAGTTATCTAGATCCTAATTTTTAGGATCTGTACTAGCTCATAGTTATCTGTACAAAGTGTATTTATACTCGGGCCATTTGGCTTATTCAATCAAGGAAATTTATTCCTCAAACTTACAAAGTGCAAATTGGCAATGGGGAGTGTATACCCAACTGTGGTAAGTGTGCAGGAGTGGGCCTGAATGTGCAAGGTATTGAGATTCAGCAGACCTATTACTTAATAGAGTTGGGAGGCACTGATGTAGTTCTTGGTATGGAGTGGTTGG